ACTACCAAGAGCCACATGAGTGAATTCAGAAGTGGATTTGTCAGTGCAGTCAAGTCTTCAGAGACTGCAACCCCATGAGAGACCCTAACCTAGACCTACCTAGATAAATGCCTAGATTCTTTTTTTAAAAAATATTTTGAGAGAGAGAGAGAGAGAGAGAGAGAGAGAGAGAGAGAGAGAGAGCTTTTTAATATTTATTTTTCAGTTTTCGGTGGACATAACATCTTTATTTTATTTGTATGTGGTGCTGAGGATTGAACCCAGTGCCCCGGGCATGCCAGGCGAGCGCGCTACCACTTGAGCCACATCCCCAGCCCTAGATTCTTGACCCTAGGAAATGATGTAAAGTTGTTATTTGAACTGCTACATTTTGAATAATTTTTTGAACAACCACAGATAAAACACTTGGGTAAGCATGAACAGAAATGGCATCTCTAACATACCTAGCATGGTGCCTGACACATAATTCAATGCTTAAAAAAGGAAAATCCACACTTATTTCCCACTTCTATGCCCTTTGTATAGATGATACTTCTCCAATTATGCCTGTCAAAATTCTTCTACCACTCTTAAATATGTTTCTAGAAAAGTATTCTCTGACCCCTTCTCCCCAAGGTACCTTAGGTGAATGGAGAGCTCATCCTTCATTACGTACGCATCACTTAGGGTCCTAGTCTCTCTCTGCCCATCTGCACATCTAGCATTTTCTCCTCATCCTTGGGAAACTTGGAACAACCTGAAGACAGTGGCCAAATCTAACTCTCCATGGCACCCCCACCCCACCACGTGCCCCAGCTCCTGTGTGGCAGGTGCTCAGGCAGACTGGCAAAGCTGAAGGAAACAGGGGCACAGCAGGAAGTGGGGAGCACCCAGAGCCAGGGAAGGAGTCTGGGCCAGGATGGGGCACAAGTGGGGCCAGCCCTCCCTGCCTTTGTGGTGCCAACAATGGGTGCAGCGTCTCCCTGAGCCTTCCCCGGGACCCCAAGGTCCACTGGGCCCTGCCTTCAGGAAGGTGCCTTCAGTAGGCATTCTAGGGACCTAGTTGACATGTAAAACCTCCCCCATCCCAGTATTGCCACCTGTCAACTCCAGAGCCATTCACTTCACATTGGCTCCAAGTCTGAAAGTTCACATTATGGAACCCTAACCTCTCCTGTGACCTCCACAAAATCTCGGCCCCTTCTGGGCCTCAGTTTCCCCATCTCTCCAGGGTTGCCCTGCAGGCCTTCCCAGCTCTGACCAAAGAATATGCCTGCCTCCTACCCACTGGTGAGGGTTCCCCCAGGGGTGAGTCACAGGGTGGGGAGGAACACCCAGCCCACCTCCTCATGGAAGCCTCTCCTCCACAGGCAAGAGGGGATGTGTCACTGTGACCATGTCTTTCTGGAAAATTCCCACAGTCCAGGTCTTTCCTGGGTTTCAACTGGAGGAACCGTGCATCCTTCTTGCTCCCATCTCTTGGGAACTATTTTTGACCTTGGCAGGCTTGATGTGGTGGCCTGTGCGGGTGTTCCCTTTTAATTTGGGGTCTGAAGCCATCTGAGGACTGGATCAGTAATTATATGTACAGAGTCATTTATGGAAACAGCTCTTGAAGAAAGTCAGTAATGAGACCTGGCTGAAAATACCTCAGAAAGAACCTGGGCCTCCTCTCCCCAGAGCTGAGGCTTCTGGTGGGAGAAACCCCTTCAGGAGGCAAGATCAATAGGTCATCAATCCCACAGCTCTTCCATGGGCCTCACGGGGCTGTGGAAACCAGGGTCTTTTCTTAGATCTGAAGTGGGGCTCCCGCAGCCTTTGTTACCAGCAGGACTAGCCAGACAGGCCTAGCCTGTCCGCCTCTGGGGCCCTCTGACAGGGACATGCTGAAACCTGGTAGCCACCCCCAGACTGGCATCTGTGCCCCAGCCTAAGGGGCTGTGAGTGCTGGACACTGAGCCACTGTCCTGGGGACAAGAAGTCCTAGGGAAGAACAGACAGATACCCCCTTTCTGGGTCCTTGGAACTCAGGGGCCTCAATGAGCAGGCTGCTGGGAGGCTCCCATGTCCATGTTCAGCCCTTGCCCTCAAAGAGCCCATCCTTCTGCCAGGCAGCTGAGCCAGGGGAAAGAGGGCAGATCAATTATGGGGTCTGTGGGCGGTCAGAGCAGGCTCCTCAGTGAGGGGAAAGTAGCCTTTAGACATGGTAGAAGGGAGAAACTCAGGGGAGGGAGGCCTCCAAGGAACCTCTGGGGGGAAGGTGCCTGCAGGTAGGGGGCATGAGAGGCCATGACAGACAGACCGGCAGACAGTCAGTGGGGCCAGCTCAGGGAGGGCCTGGGGTACACAGCTGAGCCTAGACTCCCCCTGTGGGCCTCCAAGGCTGGGAAGGATTGGAGGGGAGGCTGACAGGCTGGTCAGAAAACTGTCCTCCTGACAGCCTCACTGAGCTGGAGGAGGAGGGTGTCTATTGATCTGACTCTTGGTGAGAAACAAGACAGGTCACCTGGGTGAGTCTAATTTTGTCCAAGAAACAAAAATAACCAATGTTTTGTTGGTGTCAGGCTGATGGACACCAGGTTTGGCATCTGGCGGTCCATCCTGTGAGTGGTGGGCACAGGGCCCTGGAGTGGACAGGCAGAATGTGGACAGTGCTGTGGCCAGGGAGGCCGCCTGCTGTCTTCAGTGGGCCTTTCCCAGAAGCGTGGGATCCGGAGGTGGTTTGATCAGAGGCTGGAGGAGGAGGCTGAGGGTTCCGTTGGCACATGTTGGTGATTCATGATTGTTTATTATTCTGGTAGCCACATTATGGTGGTTCAGAAACTAAATCCATTTGCTGCTTCTCCAAACAGAAGCTGGTTCACTGTTCAAAAAATTTAGGCCACTTTTGTAATTCTCTCAATAAACACTGAGAGGTGACTGTGGAACCAGACATAGCTTTGACATTTCCTGTACCCAGTGAATTGGCTTTTGCATATGAGTTTTCATCGTTTTGCTAATCTGTCTTTGGGATTCTTTCATCAAAGGGTAAATTCATATGAATGAATGCTTTCAGCATCATATGAGAATGCTCGTGCCTGATCTTACTTCTTTCTCAAAGTCCATCTTGAAAACCCTATGAAAAGCACCCAGTCCCCTTGCCTTTTTTTTTGGAAATTGAACCCAGGGGTGCTTAAATCACTAAGCCACATCCCCATCCCCTTTTTCTTTTGAGACAGGGTCTCACTAAGTTGCTTAGGACCTTACTAAATTGCTGTAGCTGTGATCCTTAGGAGCTTGCTAAATTGAACTTGTGATCCTCCTGTCTCAGTCTCCTGAGTTGCTGGGATTACAGGCGTGAGCCACCATACCCAATTCACCCTTTGCTTCCTTCATACCACATACCAAAGAAACAGTATCCCTTATTTTACCTGTTTTTGATTATATTCCATCTCTCCCATTAGATTGTAACTACATGAGATATCTGTCTTGTTCACTGAAGTAGTTCCAGTACCCAGAGCAGTGTCATATGTGAATCAATGAGCAAACAACTACATCTATTTAGAAAAAAAAAATTTTTTTGAAGTCCTATTCTGAGGGAGAAGTAAAACTTCAAAAGACACCCTGATGTGCTATGGGACACAGCATGGTCCATTTCTTCTCCTCCCTGGGGGTGAAACTTCCCAACTGCTCCTACACAAACATGCCTGTCACCTGGCCCCGCCCAGGACAGCTGTGGGCCTGTCTATCTCTGGACCAGGGGCGATATGTGGGGACCACAAGGAGAGGAAGTGCTCTCCACATCCGCCTGGCAGCATAGCCTGGTGCTTTTTAAAACCTGACCTGTGGTCACTGAGCCCAGTAGCCAGAGAGAGTTTTTAAAAAGACTCAGATACATATAATTAAAAATCTCAGTGCTGGGTTTTAGGGAAGGCACTGGGCAACTCCCACCCTGCTTTCCGGAAACACAGATTTTTGGTGTTTGAAAGTGACAGGGAGCTAAAGTGAGACTGCCCTAAATATACCATCCTGGGCAGTTCTGAGTCTCTGGGCAAATGTGGATTTATTCCACAGCCGTGGCCTTTGCCCAGACAGCTGGGCCAGTCCCACCACTGGCCCCACCTCAGCTCCTGCCTGTCACCTCCTGCCTGTCTTCCACCCTTCACCCTTGCCTGCACAGGGCCCTCCAGTCTGCCTCTCAGACCACGCTGCCACCTACTGACATGAGTAGCCCAAGGCTCCATCCCTCCCACAGGTGGGCCCAGCTAGACCCACTGCTGCTTCCAGAGTGTGAGTCTGTGGGAGGTCCCCAGCCCCCCTCACCAGTACACACCACTCCTCTCTGCCTAGAGCACACCCTGCCATCTCACCACCCACTGAGATGTCTTCCCATTCATCACCTCCTTATGGAGGCTGCTTAGATCCCACTTCCCAGAACTTGAATAGGACTCCCTAGGAGTCATCCTACCTTGGTGCTCCTTGTTCCTTTCTCTGTCCCTTTTCTTCCTTCTTAGCCCCACAAAAGGCACTTGTTAGTTTCATCCTTGGTAGTTTCTGGCAGTGGTGTCCCTTCCTGCTCTCAGGTCATTTTACCCTGGGCCTTGCTCTACTGGCTTGTCCTCTACAGTGCCCTCTCCCTGGACACTGAGGCAAATTTGCACTCAAGCCTCACGGTCCAGCTCAGCCGTCATATATATCTGAGCTCTCCCCCTCCTCTGTGACCTTTTCCTGCTTTGGGTTTCATGTCCATCTCCCTTTTAACCTAGGAGCTTCCAGAAGAGAGCCTTCTGCTCTCTCATCTGTGGGTTCCAGGGTCAGGAAAGGGCCTTGTAGGAGACAGGTACAAGTGGGGTTTCTGGCTTGTGGCTTGTAGAGCACATGTGGAAGTCCTTTTTACATGACCTCATGAAGCCCTGTCTACATCTCCCCCAGAAAAGCCTGGAACAAGCCTGTCTGTGGAGGAGAAAACTGGCCTTACCCTACTTCAGAGTCTACACCAACCTAGCTATTAGTGACCACCTGGCTCCCACTTTGTTTTCCAGTGGAACGTGACCGCGCCCTGGGCCACCAGGAGCCCCACTGGAAGGAGTTCCGCTTTGATCTGACCCAGATCCCAGCAGGGGAGGCTGTCACAGCTGCAGAGTTCCGGATTTATAAGCTGCCCAGCACCCACCCCCTCAACACGACGCTCCACATCAGCATGTTCGAGGTGGTCCAGGAGCACTCCAACAGGTGCCTCCCTCGGCCCAGGCACCTCCCATCTCATGGGCTCCTGGTCAAGGCTCTGGCAGTGTGTCCTGCCCCACCTGGGGGGAAGGGGATTTCCCAGAGAAAGAAAGGGGAGCTTCCTGGGAGAAGAGCCTCAGAGATGGGAAAGATGCTGGGCCAGACAGTTCCTGCCCTGCCATCCTGACTGTGGGCCCCTGGACGGGTCACTGAGCCACTGAGTCTCAGTTTCCCCACCTGCACAGTACCATGTTTTGAGTTGATTATCAGTGAAATAAGGCACAGACAGAGCTCAGAGCCAGGGCAGGATAGATGTTCCAGTAGTGGTCCCCAGGTGGCACGAGACCCACAGAGGCAGCTGGACCGGCCCTCAGCCATCAGTTAATTGTTCTTTCGTGTCCACAGGGAGTCTGACTTGTTCTTTTTGGATCTTCAGACGCTTCAAGCTGGGGACGAGGGCTGGCTGGTGCTGGATGTCACAGCAGCCAGTGACCGCTGGTTGCTGAACCGTAACAAGGACCTGGGACTCCGTCTCTATGTGGAAACTGAGGATGGTGAGGCTCAGGGTCTGGGCTGGGTGAGCTCCCCTGGGGCTCCAGGAGGCTGTGCCAGCTGAGGCCTCTAGAATTGTCCAAAGTGGCCTCACTGGTTCCTGGGCGCCTGGTCTTTCTCTGCTGTGCCCATTCTGAAGACTCCAGTGGGTTGAGAGAGTGAGGTCCTGGACACAAGGATGCCCTCAGCCAGAGCTGCTTTTCCTCCCCTTCTTCTGAGGAACATCTGAGGTGCTGAGAGTCCAAGTGTCCTTCCCCAGGAGGGGGGAGTTCCCCCTGCAAGAGGCCCTCCACACTGGCAGTTCCTGTGCTCCAAGGACAGTAGTGGGAAGTGGCTTCATCCTCAGGTTGAGTGAGGGGCTGTGGTTGGAATCCCAGCTGCGTGAGTCAGTGACATCAGCAAGTTACTTACCTTCCCAAGACTCAGTTTCCTCATCCACAAAAGGAGGTTCCCTCTCTCTTTCACATACAGGAATTTGGGGGAGCATGCCTTTATACCAGGCAGTGGATGGAAAGGCCAAGGCCAGCACAAGATTGGTCTGTCTGAGGTCCAGTGAGAGGGCCACATGGAGGAGCAGAGGGCAGGAGGGAGACCTAGGAAGGAGGCTGAGGGTGGGCAAGGGTCACTGTGAGCCCGGGTAAACAGCCGGGCCAGGCGTTTGGGGTTTCTAGGGGTAGTTTAGCAGCAATGGGTGATAACAGGTTCTGACAAAGGTTTTTTGAAAAGGACTCTCTGAGATTCCCCGCTCAAGAAGGGGGAGCTTAACTCGCCACAGGTGTGGGTGCACTCACTGCAGGGTGTCAGCGGAAATAAACCAGTGTGAGCGCCTGGCACCACTGAATGCTGTGACGGGCGCCTATCACCTTCAAACACCATCCCAGTCAGGTCACCCTGAAGTGCTCTAGCTCCTGAGTTTCAGGAAGCTCGGCAGGGTTTGGGTTTCGGTGGGGAGCAGGGATAGTGGTGGCGCCCCCACGCAGAGCGCGCCCCAGGCGGCGTCCGGGATGCGGCGCCCTCCCTGCGGCCAGAGGAACACTCTCCTGGTGCAGCCGACCTGTTCTGACCTCAGAGCCCCACTGACCGTGGCGGGGCTGCGGCTCCATGTCCCTGCCAATCGCTTGGGCCAGCGCTGTCCCAGGGTTGCGCCCGCCGCTCCGCCACCAGCCCTTGGTCCGGCGCCTAGTTCTACACCGACGCGGAGGAGACGGTGAAGGACATCCGCAACCGGGCGACCTTCATGCTGGGAGCGGGGGTGTTCGGGCTCTGCGGGAATCCCGAGAACCTGATGGCCGCGCTGCTGAGGACCGCCGAGAGGGACCTGAAGTGGTGAGCAGCAACGTGGGCGTGGACGACTTCGGCCTGGGCCTCTTCCTAGCCACCAAGCAGGTCCGCAGCGTGGTCTGCTCCCACCTGGGCGAAAACACGCTGTGCGAGCAGCGGTAGCTGGAGGGCGAGCTGGACCTGGGGCTGACGCCGCAGGGCACCCTGGCCGAGCGCTTCCACGCCCACGGACTACCGCAAGCTAGTGCAGGAAGGTGGCAGCCTGGCCATCCCCAGCCAGCTGCGAGAGGTGAGAGAGTTCCGGGGCCAGCACTACCTCCTGGAGCACGCCTCAGGGAGGACTTCGCCTTGGTGAAGGGGTGGACAGTGCCGGCAACGTGATCTTCAAGGGAAGCGCCAGGACCTTCAACGTGCCCAAGTGCAAGGCTGCGATGTCACGGTTGTGGAAGTGGAAGAAATAGTGGACGTGGGGACTTTTCTCCCATTCACGTTCCCACCATATATGTGATCGCGTGATAAAGGGGCCGAAATAAGAGGGAAAAAAAAGAGAGAGAGAGATTTTAGTCCTGTGGAGCAAAGAAGATGGGAAAGCCCCGCTGAGAGAAGACTTAAGGATGCTCATGATCAAATGCTCGGCTCTTGAATCTGAGGACCGCTTATATGCCAATCTGAGCATCTGAATCACTCTCTTGGCCAGCAACTTTGTCAGCCCTGACATGACAGTTTATCTGCACAGTGACAAAGGAATCCTGGGCTTGGGCCCATTCTTATCGAAAGATGATGTGGATCCAGATGTCATCAACGCAGGCAAGCAGACTGTCACTTTGTTCCCAGCAATGACTCCTCTGCCATGATTCGCAGGGGACACATCAAACTGATCATACTGGGCACCATGCAGGTTTCTAAATACGTCGACCTGGCCAACTGGATGATACCGGGAAAGAAGGTGAAAGGAGTGGGCAGGGCCATGGATTTGGTATCTGGTGACAAGACCAAAGTATTGGTCACCATGGAGCACTGCACCAAGGCAAAGACCCTCAAATTGTGAGAAAGTGCACATTGCCGCTATCGAGGAAGTGCTCCGTGGACCGCATCATCACTGAGAGGGCTGTGTTTGACTGCTTGGAAACAGGAGGCTGACGCTGGTGGAGCTCTGGGAATGGCTCCACAGAGGACAAGGTCAAGATCAGCACAGGCTGCACCTTCGCTGTATCTTTGAACCTCAAGCCCATGGAGCAGGTGGCTATGTGAGGCCCCCAGCCAAATGTGTGCGGGCTGGAGCTCACCTCCAGGAATTTACTAGGGAGGGAGACGGTAGCCGCCTGAGGGCGCTGCACAGCGCTTGGCTCCCTGCAGAGGCTCCTCAGGCCTTCTGCTGCCAGATAGACTGTTCTCTCAAGAGCGATTTGATTTTCATTAAAAACAAAAGGAAACAGCTAAGCTCACTCGTGTGTCCTGCGAGTGCTGCAGAGCTCTCTGCCACATGGTACTCTCTCACACAGAATTTCATTCCAGTGGCCCCCTTTTCATTTTTTGAGACAAAACCTTGGAACATGCAGCCCTCCTCCCTCAGCATCCCAGTAGTGTGGATAACAGGCGTGTGCACCACACCCAGTTGTAAGGTGTCATTTTATTTCCTTGAAAAACGCACAAACCTAAGTGCGACTTTGTGAGCAGAAGTGATGTTGCCCTCATGAGAGCCTTTCCTTTAGGCCCTCTGACTTTTCCTCCAAGGTCCTGCATTCTGTTCCTAGTTTTGTTTCTTGCGTCCGCCCTCATCCATGCACATTCTTCCTGGTAGGAAATGGATGTCTTTATAGGAGGAAGGCAGGGCTGTCTCCAGGGTAGGGGACCTGTGAGTGGGAGAGACTGAGGTGGGGGCAGTGGGTGCTGGCAGTCTACCTGGAAGGAGCCTGTATAAATAAACAGTCCCCCTGTTGCCAAAGGCTGCGGTTTATCACAGGGCAAGTTCTAGAAACCCCACCCATGGCCTGGGCAGGTTCTTTCCAGTTAAATTGCAGTGTCCCATGCAATCCACACAGATTCTGTTCTGGAGGCCCAAACTGACCTTGGGTGAAATAGTCCCTGGGAGGCCAAAAGGGGCTCTGGATATGTCATCCTGAATGCATAGTCTCACAATCTAAAGTGAAAAAAAAATGTATAGAATTTTCTTTTGTGTGTGTGTGTGTGTGTGTGTGTGTGTGTGTGAAAGAGAGAGAGAGAGAGAGAGAGAGAGACAGAGAGAGCACACACACGTGCGTGCTGTGAAGGCCTAGTCTGGAAGGCAGTGTGCACTTATCGAGTGCAGCTCCAGAGGCCTCATAGTCCAGAGACCTTGCTTTTAGCTGCAGTTCCATCTGCAGCTGGTGGCATTTCTGAGGACCCCATTTGAGCTTCACTCCAAGGAAGTGACAGGTCCTGCCTGTGATTTGGGTGGGAATAGCCTGGGGTGTGAGGGAAGTGGCAGGGACCACATCCAGGTGGGGGTGGATGGCATATCCCTGAGTGCACTATGTGGTCCCTCCTGGTGCTTCTGGGGGACCTGATCTGCCCTGGGGGTCAGGAGAAGTCTCCAGCTGCAGTGCTGGGAAGGCAGGCTCATGGGAGAGCTGCCAGGAGAGTGAGGAGAGAGCTGACCTAAGGGATGGAAGCAGGCCTGGGACACTCCTGGGATTCCCTTGGGGTTTCAATAGGCCCCTGAATTCTCTTTCATGTGGCTCCAGGGTTACTTCCACTCAGGCTGAGGTGGGGCAGGGGCTGCAGGAAGAGCAAGCTGGCATCAGAACAGAAAGAAGCCTTAGGGAGGAGATATGGGGCAAAATTTGGCCTAAGACAGTGTTGGTATGCCCAAGGGCTTAAGTGCTGCCAGGGGTCAGGATAGGCCAGGTGAGGTGCCAGCCCATCTGGCCTTAATGGGAAGGCTTAGACATGAGGTGAGGATGGGGCCTCATGATGTTCCATACAGGTCCATGGGGGAAGACCACAGTGTATCCCACAGCAAGAATAAAGGGGTGGCATACCCACCAGCACCTTCACATGCTCAGGTCAGCAGCACAGCCCTGGGCCCCAGAGTCTCCTGAAGCCCCCACCTCTGCCTTTCTGGGATGGGGTTTGCCCAGTGCTGGGCATCCTGGGGCCACTGCCAGGCCTGCCTGGGCCTTGTCTGCAGCCAGTGGGAGCCAGGGCCCTGTCCAAGGATGGGGCAGATGAAGAGCAGAGCTGGTGGGTAAGGGAGACTTTGTCCTGGGGAAGAGGTGACCTCCCCAGACCTGCCAGATGCAGAGCACTGAGAGATGACCAGTGTCTGTCCTCTTGCCCTGCTGTCCCTACTCCAGCCAGGCCTCTGCTGAGGAGGGAGCAGCTGCCTGCTTTGGCCCCTCTGGGCCTTAGTTTTTGTTCCTGTAAAGTACAAACCTTGGGTTGGCTGCATCCAAGGGCCCTCAATTCAGCTCACCTGGCTATGGGAGCTCCCAGAAGTCCCCAAACCCTACCAAGGCCACCCTTAAGGAGCCTGTACAGGTCTGCTGTGTAACTGTTTTCATGTGGCTTGTGATCTGTGCCTACAGACCACTTGAGACCCTTGAACACAGCCTGGAGCATGGACAGCCCTCCTGGTCATGGGGTAGCCAGGGCCCAGGGTTCCTGAGGAGGGCACCAGTGGTACACACAGGCTGGATCTTGCCCTGGGTCTGAGGCCACTGTAAGCCAGTCTGTGGGGACTACTCTAGTGCCCACGCTGTGACTGTCACCACCCTCCCTGCTCATTGTCACTCCACCTGTCCCTGTGGTGACCTCCCTTGCCTTTTCTTCTGCACCTGTGGCTCTGCCTCCACATAGCTGCTTCCCCACCATAACCCACATGCCCCTTAGGGCTTCTCTCTGGGCCAAGTGCCAGCCAGCACTTGCAGGTCACAGCCCCTGTCTCAACATATCTCATCCACATTCCTGAGAAGGAGCCTCACAGGCCCAGTTCATTTGTTTGTGGCAGGTGATGTCATAGGTCAAAGGTTGGTCTCTGAGTTTCATCGAGTGGCCAGTGGACACCTGGTCTGAGGCCTAGCAGCTGAAGGACTGACTTTGGGTGGGGCAGCCAGTGTCCTTGACCTGTGGTGTGGAATGGAGAACCCAGTGGCTCCAGGTGGAATAAATAAGCCTGTATATACAATGTGCATATAAATGTATCGTGTGTGTGTGTGTGTGTGTTTCTATGCACATGTAATGAGTGTGTGTGGATGGATATGTGTGTGTTGGTGCTTAGACCCGGAGGTGAAATGGACTCATGTGAACTGAGCGATGGGTGCTGTTGAGAAAGACGAAAATGAGCAGCTATCGTATTTCTGTGGCTCAGTGTGAGAAGCTTCATGAGGGTGCAGAGGGAAGAGGTCCCCATCGTGCTCTTCATACCAAAAGCCAGACAAGAACCTCAGGATGAGCTAATACCTAAGGAGATTAGGGTGGATCTGCTCAAAGAGGCTTTATCATTTGACAGGTTTGTAGTGGAGACGTTTGTCAACAACTGGGAGAAGGTTTACCTTAGAAAGCTGGAAAATAGACCTCTTTGCTGTGTTGACAACTGTGTGGAGTGTGCATCATGAAAAAAGCCAGGGAAAAGGACAGTGAGCGGTGGGAGTTGGGGAGGGGTTTTCTCTCAAGAGTTTCTCTACTGTGGTTATTACCCCTGCTCACAGTAAAAAAAGAAGAAAAATAAAAGGAAGAAAGAAAGAAAGGAAAAAGAGCAGAGGCCACGTGCAGGGCGTCCAGCACAGGGTGGTTCTGCTGGCACCTCCAGGGTGAACGGGCTTTTCATGGCATCCTCAGCTGGTAGCAGTGAGGGGGTGAAATCCTGTCTTTGAGGCTCCACTCATCCTAGGGCTGAGGCACAGGTCTTGTAACCACCAGCCTGGCCTGGTGAACGTGAACCTGGGCCCTGCAATGAGGCTGAGCCTGGCTCTGGGTTTTGTTCTCTGGGACTTGGTCTCTGCCCTCCTGAGCCCAGTGCCTGGCACATGCACAGCAGGGAGCAGTGACTGCCCTGCTCTTGGGCTGCGCTGGGCAGAGTGAGCCCTGCTGTGTCCAGGTGGAGGCCGTCAAGAGCAGGTGGTGTCACGAATCACACTTCACATGGCAGAGCGTGCGCGTGCAAGACAGCACACGGCCTCTGGTCCTGCCACCAAGGAGGGTGCTCTGGTTCTGAGTGTCACCAACAGTGGACTCTGGTCATCCCGAGTGACCCTGATGTCTCTTCTGTCAAGTGTGAAACACAGGGACACTATAAAGTCGAGTGAGGCAACGAGTGGGGAAGACTTTCAAGCCTGGCAAATGCTTCACTGTCCATGTCACTGTCAGCTGGAGGCTGGGGTCTCTGAGGCCTCCCCAACCTGCCTCCTCAGGTATGCCCTCCAGGGACCTGGAGTGGACTTAGGACTCTGGTTTCAGGTGAGGAAACTGAGGCTTAGTGGGTCCCCTTGGGCCCTCAGCCTGCAGCTCCTGCTGAGGAGCAGAGTCCCTACTGGGTCCATGGTGGACCCCCTCCCATGAGTGACCCTCTCTCCTCTCTCTCAGGGCACAGTGTGGATCCTGGCCTGGCTGGCCTGCTGGGGCAACGGGCACCACGCTCCAGACAGCCTTTCATGGTCACCTTCTTCAGGGCCAGCCCGAGTCCCATCCGTGCCCCTCGGGCAGTCAGGCCACTGAAGAGGAGGCAGCCGAAGAAGACCAACGAGCTGCCGTACCCCAACAAACTCCCAGGGATCTTTGGTGAGGGCCAGGCGGGGCCCGGGTCTGAGGCCTCCTTCGTGGGCAGGACCTTGGCTGGTGGAGACCGAGCCCTGGGCTTGACTGTGGAACGAGTGTGGTGGGGAGGGTGGGCTGGGGCGAGAGGTGCCTGCCGAGGAAAGCAGAAGCGGCAGTGGGAGGGTGCTGCTGGGAAGCTCCGTGGAGGAGGTCCCAGGCTGAAAGACAAGGAGGTGCAGCTGGTCACGGGTCACTCTGTTGTGATCGGGAGCCCTTGAAGGCTGATGAGCTGGGTCATGGCACCAGCGGGGATCCAGGGATGAGCTCCGTGAGGCCCAGTGGTTTAGTTTCTTGTGGCTCCTTTATTTGCTAAATGTGCCCACCAGTGTGTCCCCCACCTTGGGAGCACCCCAGGGGACCTGCACAGAGCAGGAACCCCGGAAAAGGCCTTGCACCGTCTGTCCCTGCAGATGACGCTCACGGCTCCCACGGGCGGCAGGTGTGCCGTCGGCACGAGCTCTATGTCAGCTTCCAGGACCTCGGCTGGCTGGTAATTTCGGACTCTGCTCTCCTCGATGGCAGCCCCACCTGCAGACCCCAAGTGTCCCTTCAGGCAGGAGGGGACATCACGTGTGGCTTTGGTTCCTCTTCACATAATTCTTTCCTCTGGATTTGCTAAGTTTCCTAAATGAAAAAGTTTTCACTTTTATAGTGAGAATTCTTTTCTTTTCTTTTTCTTTCTTTTTTTTTTTTTTTTGAGGCTGGGGTGGGCAGAGGAGCATGTACTGCAGCTGGGGGGGGGCAGGCCAGGGAGGACAAAGCAGAGGGAGGGTGGCATGTGACAAGGACACAGCCTGAGGCCCAATCCTGTGTACTGAGGGTCTCCAGGTGGATTCAAGCCTCAGGTGGAGACTGCCAGGGGTCCTGAGGGTGGGGCTGGGTCCTGAGGCTTAGGGACTGTAAGGGGCAGCCCTGGGTGGTCCTGTGGTAGGTGCTGGGCTGAGGGGCTGGTCAGGGGGCACGGAGATGGGCTCACCTTCTCCCATTCCCCCCAGGACTGGGTCATCGCCCCCCGAGGCTACTCGGCCTATTACTGTGAGGGAGAGTGCTCCTTCCCGCTGGACTCCTGCATGAACGCCACCAACCATGCCATCCTGCAGTCCCTGGTCAGTGCCGTGGTCCTGGTCAGGGGTGGGGGACAGGGGGCTCGTCAGCCAGGAGGGTGGTGCAAGCAGCTGCTGAGAGGCGCTTCACCTGCAGGGACTCCGTCACAGGCCCAGGCTCTCACATGGCCACAGCCTGCAGGGAGACTCACGGGCACCCACCCGAGCACGTGCACGCTAGTCAGCGTGCACCCAGACACACTCTATGCCCTGCGTGTGCACGTGTGGCACCCAGACAGACCTGTGTGTGGCTGCCCAGCCTGGTGCAGGCTCCACTCCTCTGAGTCCTGTGAACCCTGGAGGGTCTAGCTTCCCTGACACAAGTGTACACATGTGCGTGACGTGGGCGTGGACACCCCCTGCCTGGTCGGGCCCCTGGCCAGGTGTGTCTCTGCACTTGTGGGCGTGGCTCCCCTGGGGCCCCTCCCAGCTCTTTCCTGGCTGTTTGTTTTCTCAGGTCTTGGGCTTGCGGTGCCTCAGGGACTGGGCACCTTCTGGTCATGGAAGAAGGTTCTCGCATGAGCGTAGTTGCTGTTGCTTATTGCCAGTGTGATGTGTGTGTTGACTCTGGTGACTGCAACCTAGATGCTGGTCCCAGAATCCCCTGGACTGTTTTCCTAGTAGGAGGTTGTTCAGAGGTGACACCTTAGAGAGTAATGAACTTGATGGTGCCTCCTTGAGCTTCCTATTGCATGGGGCAGTGGTTCTGCAGGACTTGTCCCCTGCCCACATGTCCTCAGCCTCTGCCTCTGCAGGCCCACAGTGGCTCAGCAAATGTGAACACCCTCGGAGGCTGTGGTGAGCACAAACGCAAACCAGCGACAAAAGAGATGTGTTCTAGGGAGACGGGGATCGCTGGGCTTTGGGTGGAGGGAGCCTGGACTGGGCCACTCTGCACTGGGGGAGCAGCCCTGTCAGGAGCTGGAGGAAGAGGGCCCTGAGATGGAGCTGGGTGGGTTCAGGGCCAGCAGGAAGCAGGGGCTGGAGGGCAGGGAGGGCGAGGGTGGTGGAGTTGGGCTGGCAGGGCCACTGAGGCAGGCTCGGGCTCCCTGTGAGGAGAGCAGGTTTTATTCCAAGTAAATAACAATTCAGGGGTTTAGCAAAGCAGAGCTGGAGTCCTGGGTAGAAGTCTTTCTGTAGTGGCAGTGTCGGGGTGGCCCAGGGGAGTGGGAGGTGGAAGGGGCGGGGAGAGGAATGAGGGGCTATCTTGTCCTCTGATGGGAGGGGAGGGCAGTTTGGTCATGGGAGGTGGTTCCCAAGCAGCATGACTGGTGGGGGCTGAGTGCCCTCCCCACTTAGGAGCAGGGGGAGGGAGGCGGGAGGCAGGTGGGGCTGAGCAACTGGGTGGATGAGGCTCCATTCAGAGTTCCCAGGACCAGGATGGGAGGCTGGACATGGGCAGAGTTGTTGTCAGGGTCGGAGGAAGTGAGTGGTCCTGCTGAGGCCCCGTCCACCCCACGAGGCCGAATGTGCAGGTGAATCACACATCTGCAGTTGTACATAGAGGTCCAAGGGGACGTTCAGAATAGAGATGCCACATGTGGAGGGTCTGCAAGTGGTGAGAACAGATGAGACCCCTGCAGCAGTGCAGGAGAGATGGCCAGGACAAGGTGGGGCTCCCAGGGGCTGGGCAGGATAAGGAGCCACGGGGGTCTGTGGGAGGCTGGGATATAGCCAGGTGAGCAAGCCTCACTGAGGGCCAAGAGAAGGGGGTACCCCCAGGCCCACCCATGGGGCCACTGTCCACACAGCAGCCAGCAGGATCTTCCTACAACAAACCTGCCTACATCATTCTCAGCCAAGAGATTTCAGGTGCTTTCCATTCTTCCTAGAGGAAGTCTCAGCCCTTGGCCTTGGACACAGGCCCCTCACTAGCCCCCTGTACCCCTGTGCAACATCCCCCAGCCACTGTCCTTCCCATTCTCAGCTGGCCACCAGGATTCTGAGGGTCCACTTTTGTTACCAGGCCACCATCATATGTCCACTGAAATGCTCCCCTATCCCCATCCATTTCCCATGAGGCTATGCGAGCAGGGCCTCTGTCTGGGAGAGGCCTGGTTCTTATTCCTGGCTTGTATTTTGACACATGCATTGGTAATGAGAAAAGTGTGTTTCTACATGGTCCAGCAACTTGTAATTTATCCTCAAGGATGCATAGACCAAGAGCTCTGGACTTCTGGATTTGTCTTATACATAGTATATAGCTCAAAAATGAATTGAATGGATGACACCTTACACTCCATAAATATCTGTGGGTGCTGATGGATTAAAGGGCATCACCCTTTGTGTTACTCCTGGTGAAGCTCAGGGCTCAGGGCAGGAGCAAGGAGCACCAGCATCCTGTGGTGCTGACTTCCCTCCCATGTCCCAGATCAGGGAAGGTCCTTTGGGGTTCTAGCCACTTAGGGACCCTTGGACTGCACAGGAGGCTGGTATCTCCTGGGTCCTCCCATGTGGCCTGTAGATGGAAAGTTGGGATCAGCAGCCTCCAGGGTCCAGACCAGCTGCATATCCCTCCAGAGGCTTCTGGCCCTTATGCTACAGTGTCTGGTGACAGTCCTCCCTAGCAGATTGGCTCAGAATTAGGGCCAGGAGAAGGGAGCCAGGGCAGCATCACACAGCTTCATCCAGGTCCTGGTCAGCAGCAGTGAGGCCTTGGAGCAGCCAAACACACATGAGGGAAGCTGGTTCCTTGGCGCTCTGGCTCCCCTCGTAGGTGGCGGTGCTGTCTCCCAGGACCCGTGTGTGTGAGTCCTGTGAGGGATCCAGGATAAATGGCAGCTCATCCTGGAAACCGCTGGCTCCTTCAGCTCTTTGGGGAGGGTAAAGGCTGCTTTAGTGGGGGTGAGGGATCTGGCACCTGGTTCCAGTCCTGCTTCACTCAGGCTTGTCACGTAGCCCACTGTGTGGCCTCAGTTCATCCTTGGCAGAGACCATTCCTTGCCTTGGCCGCTGTTGTTGAGTGGGGAGCACACCCAGGCTCTAGGTCTCATCCACTGGTTCCATGAACGCTCCCCACACTCCAGCTGTGTAGGGACAGACCTGTGCACAGCTAATGACGGACCCCACGGGGATAGAGTAGAAGTGTAAAGCGTGGGGAAGCAGAGGCTGCAGGTGCGCCCCAGCATATGTTGCCCACGTGTGGAGGTAGCAGATGTGGCAGGGGTGGGCAGGGGACCCAGAGAGCTGAGGAGCAGGTGTGCATGGCCTGGACAGCAGTGCCTAGTGGAAACTGCCTGCCTGCAGGTGGAGAGTGGTCTCGGATGGGGCTGGGGGCTGAGACCTGTAGGACAGGCCAGTGCAAGCAGCAGAGGGTGGCTTGGGTTGGTTCTAGGAAGAAGCTGCTAAGCTCATAATCCCACCCCGTGTCTCCTCCCTGGCCAGGTGCATTTGATGAAGCCAGACGCAGTCCCCAAGGCATGCTGTGCACCCACCAAGCTGAGCGCCACCTCTGTGCTCTACTATGACAGCAGCAACAATGTCATCCTGCGCAAGCACCGCAACATGGTGGTCAAGGCCTGCGGCTGCCACTGAGGCCCTTCACTTGCTCTGCTGCTGCTGTCCCTCCTCATCTGGATCTGGCCCCTCTCCAAATGCAGAAAACCCCCAAACCCAGCCAAACCTAAGGCAAGATTGGCAGGGAGGCCTTCAAACCTCACATCCCTCCTTCATGCCAGGTTTTCATCCTCTCCAGGCCCCTCTGCTCCCCTTCCCCTGCCTGAGGTTGGTGTGATGGTCCTACCTCCAGCCCTGGTGGTCTGGGTTTTTAAGCATCAGTTTCCTGTAGTCCCCTCTTTCAGAGGCATGAACTGATTAGCTCTTTGGGGTCTTATCTGCAGACCTACCCATGCCCATTACTGGCCCATATTTGGACAAATTGGGATGACCTGAGAGGCACGTGGTGCCCTAGATCAGCCACCTTGTGCTCTTTACTATCAATTATAGGGTTTGGGAATGTGTAGACAGAGTCTGGTCCTGCCTCTTGCCTGCTCCTCCCAGATACAAAACTGGCATCTCTGGGAAACAGTTAAAAGCAGGGAGCTGCCCTCAGCATTGTACATTTACGGATCTGAATTACCCAAACCACTGGTCACAAATGGACATGTGGGGTCAACTCAAGATAAAGATTTGCCCTATGATACTGGCCTGATGGCCACATCTGGTAATTAGGCTGTGTTGGGTAGGGAGGTTTGTCTCAGCCTCCACTGTTCCCGGAAGTCACTGTTCTCCTTGGAGCAGCCACTGGGATTGGAGTGTTTATTTGATTTTGAACTTGCCAAGCCTGTAATTTACCTGCTGGAACAGACAGAGTCCAGCTGTCTGAACTGTCATTAAAAGCATATCCTGGTCCTGCCCCCATCCACAGACACACCCAGCCGAGGTGGACCCAGGGATGCACATTTCTGGAGTTTCATGCTCTACACCCCTGAGGACTGGCCTTGGAAAGGGCAGGTCTGGCAGAGTGGTGAGGCTGGTAAGCCTGGGGTATGCTACAGAACAGCTGCCTCTTCAGCTGGACTGAGGAGGGCACTCTTGTGTGAGTGTAGAGAAGACACCCTCCCTTGTAAAGGCAGGTCAGACCATCTGGAAGGTAATGAGTTCCCCATCAGTGTTGAAGTCTCAGTTCCAGCCTGGATATAAGGAGATTGGACTTGTGAATACTGCTTTATCTGGGCCTGTTTCTCTCTGTAGTGTAAAGGAATTGGACTTTTTGATCTCCAAAGGGCCTTCATCCAGGTAATCTATCTATCAAGCCTGTCTCACACTAAGCCCAGGTGCAGCTTCTTGATCCTGATGGGAGTTCAGATGGCTGTCATGAATCAAGAGCTGGCATATAACATAGGACCTATTTGCCATTCTAGTACTTCTCCAACAGTTTTTTCTTCTCAACATCAAGTATTGTCTTTTAGGCAGTTAAAAACTTTAAATCCATCAGTTGTTTTGATGATCAGTTTTTTTAAAAATTTTATCCTGGTATCTTTAGTGCCCAATCAATGGTTTGCCATAGCTAGATACCAGGAAGATCTGTCAATTTACCCACAGGTTTGTAGGCATGGAGCATACTTTACCTATCAATCAAGCTGTGTAGAATAGGAATAGGCAGCAGTTGCCATCCTCCTTTTTTATACCAAACAACTGAATCGCCTACCCTACCTGGCCATCAGATTTCCAGCAAATTTTGCCACTGAATGGTTATCAAGTGAAATCAAATGGAAATGCAGCAAAACAACTGTGAATGGACACAGCCTATACATTTTGTTCCAGGAGACATCCATTTGCTGAGCAAGTATGGCAGCTGAAATGGGTGGCCTGGCTGACAGTATGGATACCATCATTTCCCCTCTTTGCTCAGGGCAGGGCCTGTTTATCTAGTTTCAGCAGACTAGGAGGTTCAATAGGATAGTCAGTTCAGAGCCACTGACAGCAATGAGATTCAATGACAGTTGACATGAAAAGAAGGCACAAAAATAATAATGCCTAGCAGTCTTCAGATTTGCCCCACGATACTGGCCTGATGGCCACATCATCAGTGGATTAAGTGTTCACTGTCTTCTGAGGTAAGAAAGTAACATGTTTTTTAAAATTTCCCAAGAAATAGGAAATGAGGCAAAGAAGCGAGAGTACAGAATATTTGGAGCCAAATGGGTTTGAATCTGGTTTCTGCTTCCTCCTCTGTAGAACAGGATGTTGGTTCTTTCCTCCCAAGGCTAAGATAAAGATTAGATATGTACAAACATTTGGAACATGTGGCATATAAATGCTTAACAATCAGTGCCTGATATTATTACAAATAAATTTGCTCATTGGGAGCTACTTCTGTGCCTGTCCATTAAACCAAAATATGTTCTTCAAATGATGATCTATTTATTTTAGACCTGTGCTTTTTCCTAACGAATCCATACATGACACATTCCTTGGAGGGCAACATCTGTACTCTCCACCTTTAAAGGGCTGGTAAGTATTTGGTGAGGCTGGCCATGGCCTGGTTTTGAAACTTTGCTCTTTTGTTCCCAGAGACACAAGGAACCCACAAAGGGCTGAGGGACATCTGCATCCACCTAGTGCTGTGTATGGCAATTTGAATGGGTGAATTATCCTTTTGGGGGTTCAACCAGTAACATGAGTCTTTATGTGAGCAATTTACCCACTTACAAAATTTTAATTATTAAAAAACCCCATAATGTAGTTTTGGAAGAATGTGACAAAACAAAAACTAAAATATGAATTGAATGACCCTAGTTCTATGACTCAGATAAATACACCATTAGTATTTTGGTCACTGTATTTCTAGGCCTTTTTCTTAAAACATAATTATCTAGGCTTACATATAATTGATAATTTTGCCAAACTGGGATCATACTGTGGTATACATAAATTGCTTTGTGATGTGCTTTTCCCACTTTATTAGGAAGGGAAAATTTCTAGTTTTCTAGAAATTTTGGCTTTCTAGTTTCCTGTCACCTGAATTGAGGCTCCATTTCTACCACTAAAATATCTGTTCCCAGTTCCTTCCACGGAGGTTACTGTGAGGCTCCCATGACTATGACAGATGAGCAAAGTCTGGAGGTGGCTCTTACTATCTGACAGGAAACTCCAGTAGCCACATCCCTGATCCTGGGATCACAGTGCTGATCTCTGTCCTCCTTTGTGCAGGCTCTGCTAAGCTCTTCACACACCAAAGCCTCTCTTGGTTCTTGTGCAAGCCCTGAAATCAGGCTATGGTCCCCAGCTTCAAATGCCTGCCCTAATGCTGGTGCCTTCTGTGTAGAAAGAACTTAGCAGGGTCAACTTGGCTAGGCCACAGCACCCAATTTCTGGTCAACAGCAGCCTAGATGGTGCTGTGAAGGTATCTGGGGGTGGATTAATATTTAAGTCAGTGGAGTGAGCAACACTAATTACCATTTATAAGAAGGTATGCCTCATCCAGTCAGCTGAAAGCCTTAAGAAAAAGACTGAGGTCACCAGAAGAATTCTGTCTCCAGACTGCCTTTGCACTTGAACTGAAACATAAGTTTCTTTCTGGTTTTCCAGCCTGCTGGCCTGCCCTACAGATTTCAGTTTTCCCAATACCCACAATTCCCTAAGCCAGTTCCTTAAGATAAATCTTTCTCTCGCGTTCTCCACATACAGATACACACACTTGGTTCTGTTTCTCTGGAAAGTTCTGACAAATACAGGGACCATATACTGTCACTGACTTCTCAACTCTGTTGCTGCTATACTGAGAAAGCAGCTACAGACAATGTACAAACAAATGGTTGTGGCCGTGTTTCAACAAAACTTTATTCACAAAAATAGGCAGTAGGCTGGTTTAGGCCCATGTAGTTTGCTGATTTCCTATCTTCTAACAAAGAAGCATAGTACCCAGTACAGAGAAGGCACTGTGAGTTTAAAAATACCATTTAAAAAATGTATAAAATGAAAATGACAAGTGATAAATAAGACACTGAGGCTATGTGGCACACTTGCTGGCTATCAGACTGCCAGCATGAGTTTAGAAGCACAAACAGCAGAAGACAGGAACTTTTGCTTACCTTTGACTTCCATTGTCCTGACATGGTCTGACAGGGACATCTGGCATGAAGATACTTCAACCTGGCATCTAAGGGAATTGGCTCAAGGGAAAATACAGAAGCTGTAGGGAAGGCACTATGCCCTATCCACTTGCCTGCCCCAGGAAGACAGCTTAGTTACTGACACAATCTCTGACAACTCCCAGGAACTCACTGGAGGCAGCAGTATAAGAATCAGTTTATTTCAGCAAAGAAACCATCCAGCAGCCACAGGTGGGCCCAGGACAGCACCTGGCAGCACAAGCCTGAGAAGCCAGAGGCCACGCAGCTGTGGATGGTGGGGAGGGTCACACCTGCACCTGCTTGCTCCAAGAACCACAGCCATGCTGGGAACCAGTCGAGAGGCCACCCAACCAGGCCGTGAGGGAGCTGCTCCAAGCTGATCTGAGGAATGGCTGGGGTCACAAACACCATCTGCTTCATGCAGGACACCCTCAGTGCTGGCACCCCTGAGGCCAGCAGCTCCTTCCTGGACACACAGGTAAGAGCACAGCAGGGAGGGGAGAGCACTGCCTCACATGTACTCCCCACAGTCAGCGATGATCACCTTCTGCTTTGGCTTCCCATCCTTGCTGCCCTGGGCCTTTGTGGACAGAACAGGAAAGGAGAACTAGTCAGTGGGTGAGGGAGGAGACTGAAGAGGAACTTAGGGTGCCACCCCTAGCTGGAACCTGAGCTCACTCCTTCCTGGCCCTCCACAGGTTATACCCCAAGGGCCAGGGGGTTTGGGGGCCCTTCCTGGCCACCTACCTCAATTTGCCGTAAGACATCCAGACCTTCAGTAATCTCCCCGAACACTACATGCTTGCCATCCAGCCAATCTGTCTTGTCACAGGTCAGAAAGAACTGGGAGCCATTGGTGTTTGGGCCAGAGTTGGCCATGGAGAGTAGGCCTGGAGGAGAAAAGGACATCAACTCCCTCTACCTTGCCCCAGCCCCTAAAGCTGTCCATGCACACTGTGGACAGCCTTCTGCAGGCGGCCCAGGCTCTGGGACACACAGATCCCATGCATGTGGTCCTCTTATCTTTCACTCACTAGTGAAATAGGACAAGAAGGGCTGTTTCAAACATTTCATACTGGTCTGTCATTCTTGTTTTGTTTTTAACAATTATTTATTAAATGTCTACTTATAAGCAATCTCTGTTAAGTCCTGGGAACACTGATGAGCAAAACACTTCTAGCCCTGGTAGAAGCTCATAGTCAGTGGAAAAGGGTCATTTAAAAGACACAGTGCTACGACAACTATGATACAGTGAAGCCCAGTAACGGGCATTTGTGTGGAAAATGGCAACTTAAAGCAGCCATGTAGGAGAACATGTGTATCCACACACAGATGACTTAAAGACAGATGGTTGGGGTGTATGAGTGACACAGGAGAGGAGCCAGATGAGTCCTAAGTTTCTGATCAGGCAGCCAAATGGACAGTGGAATCATTTACTGAAACAAGGACAATGAAGACAAGGAAAAGTGTCGGGGAGAAGAGCAGAAGCTGTTTTGGGCCTGTGAGGTTGAGGGCCTGTGGGATATCCAGGCAGGCAGCTGGACAGGAGCCTGGATGTCAGGGAGCAATCAGTCCCAAGATGCAAATTTGGACAAACTCAACTCACAAGAATTCTGTGCAAGCTCTGGCACTGGATGAAATTGCCCAGGGCGGTAGCTCTCATTGAGGTTGGCCCTATCCCCAGGGGCTATTTGAACATTTAAGTATATTTTTGATTATCAGAAATATCATGGGCATTTAGTAGGTGGGGGCCTGGAATTCTGCAACTATCCCAAACAATGAAGAATTGTCCCATATCCTCTTGGTCTTTCAAATGTCCTGACAAATATCAGATGAAAAATGCTTATAAGCACCTGTATAATTCAATTATACATATAAGCCCAAAGTTTTGGAGGCATTTTGGTTTTTTCATGGAATCTTTCAGAAATGCAACTACTATATAAATCAACAAAATATTACTCTTCAATTTGGAATCTAACCAACTTTCCTATCAGTTCACAAAATCACGTCGCCAACAATAATACTGTTTGTGATATCCAAGTTGCCAGTAGACACACCTGTCTGCATTTCTCACTTTGCACTTGGGTACAGGTGCACACATCTGGCATAGTTGTATTTGCACATTTCCACCAAGAAACATATATTCTTTTATTACAACTCACTTTCTTTTCACATTCTTTCCTGTTAAGAAATAGTATTGATTTTTAAAATAACTCTGTAGACAGGTAGCATACATCATCTATACATTTCATTCCAGCAGTGAAGAGGTGTACTATAAATTATCAGTTAGAAAAAAGAGGCCTGGGGAGACAAGTTTCAATGGAAAAGCAAAGAGTGAGCTCTGAGCCACTTTAATATTTAGGGGTCAGGAGAAAAAGGAGATGGCAAAGACAGAAAAAAATCAATTAGGTAAAAGGAAACCAAGAGAGGAATTCTGTCAGCAAAGTGAAGGAAGGAAGGAAGATTCAAGGAGCAGAGGGTTAACGGTATGATATGCTGCTAGGAGGTGAAATCAATTGAGAGCTGAGAACTGGCTACTGGCAAGATACAACTGGTTAGCATCTTTAGTAAGAGTGGTTTCAATGGCAAGATGGGGCTAGAATTCTGGCTAGAAAAGCTAGAAAAGAATGAAGCCTGTGAGTCTCCATTTTCAAGAGTCTATTTTTTCCAGAAGTTTTGCTATCATAGACCAGAGACATGAGTTAATGGCTGGCAGGGAAAGAGTCCAAGGATTTTTTTTTTAAAAGATTGATACCACATGCTTAAGCTGATGGACTAAGCTGGCAGAGCAGAGGAAATGTATTATACAAGGTAGAGGTGGACACTGGAAGAAGCCAACCTCCTAAGTAGGGAAGAGGGATGGGCTCCAGCCCACAAGTGGCAGGGCTGGCCCCTGTAATAGAAGGGTAGTCAGAACATTCACTGCAGCAGATGAGGTGGGAGGGTGATATGGAAGCCTTAGGAGTGAAGACAGGCATGGAATCGTCATCTCTGATGGGGACCAAGAAACCAACTAGGGAGATCTGGTTAGAACTGTAGTCATAAATTTCAAGTGGGATCATTCAGTATAATTCTGTGTTTCCTCTAGTTGTAGGGGGACCAACCACTGAGATTTTACTAGATAAGTCTGAAAGGGGTTGGGAAGGTAGGTAGAGGTTGGGGCCATAAAGAGCTTACAATGGTTTGGATTAAGTAGAGGGGAGTGAAGGCAGGGGAGGGGGCATAAGGGTAGGAAGGATAGTAGAATGAATCAGACATTATTACCCTATGTACATATATGACTACACAACTGGTGTGATTCTACATCATGTACAACCAAAAGAATGAGAAATTATACTCCATTTATGTATGATGTGTCAAAGTGCATTCTACTGTCACGTAAAACTAATTAGAACAACAATTAAAAAAAAAAAAAGAGCTTACAATGGCAGATTATAGAATCTAAGGTAGGCTAATTTGAGTGTGGGCATGGTAGCGGGATGAACATCTCAAAGACACCCCAGTGGGTCTGAACGTTTTCTTTCTGCCCAGAAGCTGAGTATCTCAGAATCCCTGCCCCATGGCCAGAACCACAGCCTATTCTTCCAGCCCACACAACCATTCTGTGCTGGCCCAGCCTCTTATGTCACCATACCCCAATCAGCTCCTACCTGGTCCTGTGTGTTTGAGGATAAAGTTCTCATCATCAAACTTCTTCCCATAGATGGACTTTCCCCCAGTGCCGTTGTGGTTTGTGAAATCACCACCCTGGCACATGAACTGGGGGATGATGCGGTGGAAGCTGCTTCCCTTGAAGCCAAAGCCCTTTTCATGGGTACACAGGCAACGGAAATTCTCTGAAGTTGAGAAAAGAGTAAGTGCTGAGGTGGAAACACAAAAAAATAAAGCAAAAAAACAAAGCCTCTGAAAAATAGGGTTTTATTTGTTTAATGTTTACACAGTTGTAAACTTGGTATCCACATGGGATTGCTTCCAGGAACCTTTGCAGATATCAAAATCTGGGGATGTTTAAACCCCTTATAACCTATGCATAATCTCCTTTATACTTTAAATCATTTTTATATTCCTTATAATGTTTAATACAATGTAAACGCTATGTAAACAGTTGTTATATTCTATTGTCTAGAGAATAATGATAAGATCAAGTACGAACATGTTCAGCAAAGATGCAATTTTTCCCACCCCCCCAATAATTCTGATCTGTAGTTGGTTGAATCCACAGATATGGTGCCTGTGGATAAGGAGGAGTGACTGTATTTTCATTTTAAAGTAAAAGAAGCTGTCTCAGCTAGGTGGTTCAGCCCTGTAATCTCAGCTACTCAGGAAACTGACACAGGAGGATCAAAAGTCTGAAGTCACCTTGGGTACCTTAGCAAGACCTTGACTGCTGGCAGCTCAGTGGCAGAGTGCTTCTGCTTCGCTTACCTAAGCACACACATGGCCCTGGTTTCAACCCCCAGTACAACAAAAACAAAAACAAAGTAAGAGACACTCATTATAAACCTTTGTGATACTGACTCTTAGAGGACTACAGGGCATGCTCTTAGAGGAGGAGAATTGAATACATGCACTTAGCTCTGCTACCTCCCAGACTAGGAGCAAAGTGATCTTTGAACAGGAAACCCAAAAGATCTTAGAAAACTCATGACTTTGGATGTGGTAATAGTTTCTTACATGACACCAACTATGTAGGTAACAAAAGAAAAATAGATAAATTTGATTTCATCAAAATAAAAAATTTATGTGTATCAAAAAAATACCACCAACAGAGTAAAAGGCAACCCATAGAATGAGAGAAAATATTTGTAATCATTTAGTAAGAGTTTAATATCCAGATGTATAACTTCTATAATTCAACAACAAAAAGACAAACAATCCAATTAATAAATGGACCAAAGGGTTGAACAAAGAAGATACACAAATGGCCAATAAGATTACGAAAAGATACTCAATATCATTAGTCATTAGGGAAATAGAAATCAAAACTACAATGAGATACCACTTCACAACTGCTGGAGAAGATGTGGAGAAATTGGAAGCCATCCACATTGCTGGTGGGAATAAGGCTAATGGCACATTTAAAAATAGTTAAAATGGCCAAAAAGTCAATTTTAAAAGGGAAAGACAAAAGAACAAAAAATTCTGAAATCTGGGAAACAAACAGATGAGTCATAACTGATATAGCAGTCTGTGGATGAAGCTGACTCTCAAGCTGATAAAAGCCAAAAAACAACTCAATTAACACTCCAAAAGCCCAGACACAAGTGTGATGGTAATTCTAAAAACAGCAAGTCTGGTTGAATCCTGTTTTAGAAAGTAGTTATCCCCAGGACCCTCTCCTTAACTCTGTACCTGGGGGCTGTTCTTCCTCTGCCCTGGCAGTCAGCTTAAATTCTACTCTCTAGTGAGATAAAGCAAAGGGTCTCTGGACTAGGAAGCCCTAGGAGGGTTGCTGAGGTCATGACAAATGAAGTTTCAGTGAAAACTTATATAGTGAAGGCTGAAGCATTCAGCCCTGTCTCTTTCTCCCTCACCAAGATGGCAAACAACTGGTTACAGAGCCTCCAGTTTGGGAGAGTCAAGAATAAATACACAGGCAATTACCAATTCCAGGCAAAACAAGTCCTATATGTATGAAATGTATGATGTTTATATTGTTAAATAATCTATGATCTAACTCAAATTGTGGGAATGCTATAGGGAAAATGAAAAGGGATTTTATAGGAACACGTAAAGGGATTTATATATATATATATATATATATATATATATACACAAAATATTTATATATAATATATATATAAATAACATATTAATATAAATAATATTAATTGATTGTACTGGGGATGGAATCCAGGGCTTTCTGCATGCTAGGAAAGAGCTCTACCACTGAATTACATTTCCAGCCCTTTTATAAATTTTAATTTAAGAAAGGGATTTAAGTGGCCAAGGCTAGCCTTAAATTTGTAATCTTCCTGCCACAGCCTCCCAAGTAGCTGGGATTACAGGCATGTACCACCATGCATGGCCAGAAGAAAATTTTAAAAGCTAATTCCTTAACTTCTGAAGCAGAAATATCAAAAGATAATGTCTAAAATTTAAAAAATCAGAAAGTAGAAATAGAAAACTGTTATCTACCAAGATGGAAGTAAAAACCAAAAGAGATTCACAAGAGTTGAAATTGGCTACTTCTGAGTAGCAACAAATATTGTTGGTGTCAGGGCAGGGCACAGAGACAGCACTAGAGAACTGCTGTATTTTGAAACAAGCTTTCTGAAACTGATTTTTTAAAGTACCTAATAAAATTTACACTTAAAAGAATAAAGAAAAGTATTTAACAAATAAGAAAGGTTACTCAAAAACAGCACTAGTTGTTACTAAAGCACAGGACTGGATATATTATTATTGGAATATATGTGTGTTGGTGTATTCAATTTATATATTTATTTTTTTTAACCATGAACACATTACTTATTTATTTTTTTTAAACTATTATTTAGAAAATAGTAAACTAGCACTTATAAGCTCCCAGGGTCTGACATGCCTCAAATCAATTCAGGTCAGAAAAAACATCAAGGCATAAGAACTAAGGCAATGAGAACCCTGGGAAAGCTCAGTGCTCAGGCACCAATTTCCTGTCATCCTGACCACAGCAGGATCCTGCTCACCTGCCGTCATGGGCACAACATCAGAACGCAAGAGCATCTGGATGCGGCCAGCTGGTTTGTTTCCAATCTTGATGTCCATGTACACTTGAGGATTTGACCGGGCCTTTTTTGCAGTGGGCTCCCCCTAGGTGCAGAAGAAATTGTTAGTTAGAACTCACTGGTTGTGGCTCAATGGTAGCGCTTGCCTTGCATGCACGAGGCACTAGGTTCAATTCTCAGCACCACATACATACAAATAAATAAAATAAAGATCCATCAACAACTAAAAAATATTTAAAAAAAAAAAAAAGAACTCAGTAATCTCCAAATAGAAGAACAAGTATTTTTCTGCACATGTACTTGGCACAAACTCCTTGAGCAGGCCAGCGGAAGGTGATGACAGGGAATGCCATTAAGGGACAGGGCTGTGGAAGGCAGTAGCCATGACTATAGCACTCAGCTGGACATCCAGCAATAGCAGAGCTTGCCCTCCTCTAGTCTTTCGTAAGGACAGCTAGAATGATCTTTCTGAAACACTGGTCCAATCATTAACTCTGTTGCTCAGAACTTTTCCTCACCATCTAATTGGAGATCCATCCACACTTCTGCTTTCCCTCAGACACACCAGCTTACTCCCCCTGCCCTGCAGCTCGTCTTACAATACACAGGTCTCATCATTTCGACCTCCAGCTCAAGCACATACAGTTAGTAGACCCACTCATGTATCTCCAGATCTCCTCCATGCCTGACCCACATTGTCACAGGTTGGCCACACGGAAGCAAGCAGGGGGCCCTCTCACTCAGGCCTCAGCCTAAGTGCTCAGAGGCTTGTTTTGTACTCCAAGTAGGTAAGAGTAAGCAGAAGATCAGCAGACATTTAATACAACCACCACACTTGTTCCAAGGGGAAAGATAAAATGTTATTACCTTGCTTTGATTCAATTGAACAAACATATACTATGGCATCATGTGGGCGCTGAGGATATTGCCACTGCTATTTGCCATTGTAATAGCAAGGGTCCAGCAGCAGCAGCAGCACCTGCAGCATTTACTGGATAACTTGCCCCAGTTCACAAAAGTGGTTAATGGGGAGCTAAAAGGCAAAACTAAATCAGCTTTCCTGTCAAATTCACACTACTAATCATATTACTCTACCTCATATTTTTTTTTAATTTTTTTAGTTGTAGTTGGACGCAATACCTTTATTATATTTATTTATTTTCATGTGGTGATGAGGCTTAAACCCAGCACCTCGCATGTGCTAGGCAAGCACTATACCACTGAGGCACAACCCCAGCCCTCCACCTCATATTTTTATTAATAAGATGCATACTACAAGGCCCCTAGTCTCACAGAAATTAATGCCTAGAAAAGTAAGGGCAATTGGCACTGAAGTAGCCTGTGCAAAAGTAAAGGTATACATGGACATATAAAGAATGGCTTTATTAAGACCATGGTGAGAGTAGGAAGGAGACTACACTGGGAGAGGTGGGAAATGAGATTGGAGAGACAGGCAGGATCAAGAACCTGGAAGGCCCCTTTTGCACTTTGTCCCATGAAACAGGTGATGGGGAAAAGTGAAAAATTCTGAGCAACAGAGTTAATGATTGGATCAGTGTTTCAGAAAGATCATTCCAGCTCTCCTTATAAAAGACTGGAGCAGGGCAAGTCTGCAGCCAGTTACTGTAATTATCCAAATGAGACAAGAGGCTAGACTAAGATGAGTGCTTCAAGGAAGATTTCACAGAATTGGCCAATTATGATGATGTATTGGCTCTATATTAAAAGAGGGTCTAGATAACCTAGTGGGATTTCACTAACTGTCAGGACACCACTTTTGGCATTCTGCTTTGCATCCAAATTTCTGGTTTGGGCAATGTGCAGATGGATGAGGCAAATTAACCAAGACTGAACACAGGAAGACAGGGTTGAAAAGGGGAAGTTCATTTTAGGCAACTTTAAGGCTTCCTACACAGAAGCAGACTTGCATGAAGAAACAGCTGCAGCTCAGCACTAGAAACAGATGACAAGATTCAACTGAAAAATAAACGCTGCCTTTGACAAAGTACTAAGTTCAATATATCTACTCTCTGCTTTTGTACATATATATCTGAAAATTGCCATAAAAACTTAAAAATACAAGAGTCTCCTGTAGAAAGCACCAGCCCTATCTCCAGAACCATAGTCTTTGTTCTCACCTCCTGGGCTTCTGCTTTGGGAGGCTCTGACCCTTCTTCCTCTTTATTCTCTTCAAGAGTCTTCCCAGAAAATTTCTTCAACCAGTCATCATCTGACCAAACTGAAAGGAAAGAAGCAAACCAATATTAAGAAATTCAAACTATCAGTCAATTGTTAAGTAGCTACTTTGGTCAGAAGGTAGAATATTCTAAGTGGCCCTCTTAATCAGAGGAGTCTCCTTGAGAACTCCTAAGGGCAAGGAAATTTACCACTAGGAATACCCTGAGGTCCAGCACTTAGTGGGACTAAGTAAAAAAAAAAAAAAGCTATGCTGGGGCTGGGTTTGTGGCTCAGTGGTAGAGTGCTTACCTAGCACATGTGAGGCACTGGGTTCAATTCTGAGCACCACATATAAATAAATGAATAGAATAAGGGTCCATCAACATCTGAAAGTATATATTAAAAAAAAAAAAAAAACGCTATGATACGGGCAAAGATATGCCTTTGCTGGTTCTAGTCCTTGATGGAGCATCCTAGGAATGGAGTACAGAGAAAACTGAGAAGGTTGAGAGGCCGGAAGCAATTACTTTGGCTTTGCTGTGAAGCTTGAACTGTTTCCCCAGAAAGGTGGTACCTGTCTCTCGCCAACATGAACCATCCTTTACTCCTTATCTGTCAAGAAGCAGTATTTAGCACGTATTTCCAAGTAAATAGGATAAAAATGGAACTAAGGCCAAACTGAAGATTATAACAAGGAACCTGTGAGTTGTTCCCACTCACCTGGTCTGGAAGAACCCTCCTTAATTCTCATTGGTTTTGCCAAATTGACACGAATTGTCCGTCCAAAGAGCTCAGATTCATTCTGAAAAAATTGAAAATCCAACTATTTAAATTCTGTCACATTAAAGGAGAGCCAAACAGCTTCTCATTTTATTTCTGACACATGCTCAAGATTCTGGTCCCTTTCTAGTAGTAAGCTGTGTCCTCAAACAAAGCAGTCATCATGGGAGGAAATGGCAGGGAGTTTCATCCTGAGCTATCACACACCTCCTTTCTTTGAATACCAGCAAAGAAAGGTCTGTATTGCCAAAAGTAACTCTGAGTTCAAGGGACTCTGAAATTACAAGAATAAATGCAGTTTCCTGGAACCTGAATTCACCTTCAAAAGCCAACATCAGCTTTGAAATGGTGAGGATCATCTCTCTCTGACAGTTAAGAAATATGTTTAGTGAATGGGTAAGAGAGAACAGGAAATAAAGAACTTCATTATCCCAAAATATCTGGCCCTGGGACAGATCACTTAATGTAAATTTACTTAAGGTAGTGGTGAAAATTTTATGGTAAAAAGTTAAAAAAAAAAAAAAATCTTTTGACTGGTCTTTGTGATGAAAGTAGAAATAATGAAAATATCTTTCTAACAGTTAATATGCAGGCTTAAGTATGCACTGACTTGTGGTACAAACATGTAACAGGAGCTGACTAGTATGAAGTATTTTTTTCCAACAAAATTCTATCAACAGTATATAATACCTTTGCACTTACTAGTTGACATGAAAATTATGTATAAAGATTTCAAGGAGGGCAGGAATACCGAAAAGCATCGTCTCGTCATTTCCAAGAACTTTTCCAGGATACTCAAATCATTTAAATCAATAGCATACCCTGTCATTATTCTGATTGAATTTCTCTTCTCAGTCGTTAACTGATCTGACACTTCAAGAAATCTTCTTTTACAAAATATGCAGTTTCACTATGCAATCGATTTGCATTGTATTTGCAATTTATTATCCCAGGCATGAGGGAGTTGGTGAGAGACAGATCAACTTATATTATTGTAAATGGTGAAAGATATCTGAGTAAGGACTAATTTTTGCAAGTGATCAATTCACAGTGAATATTTTCACATGATGACCATTTTTACCTCCCCACACAACCTTGAGGTTTAAAAAACCAATATGTGAACAAGGACTCTTTATACCACCAAAAAGCAACGTAAGTTAGAATGAGAATTCTCAGTCTTACCATGTTGTCAATAGCTGCTGCAGCATCCTGCCAAGGAGAGACAAAGTATAAGTTTAGGCTTGTACCTAAACGCTTGTTGAGTCTAAACATTTTCTCAGTATCAAAAAAAAAAAAACCCCAAACACAGGAAAAAGTCACGTCTACCCTTCTTATCTAAACTGTGTCTAATAAAAAGCACTTCTTGGCTGACTTTTGAGCTAGTGAAGCCACAATATGAAAAACAGTTGAAAGCATAAGAAATAATCACCAGCACTGCTAGGCAAGAATGCTCAATGAACAGAGCTGTAAGAGAGATCTGCAGAGCAAGAGGGACTTGGCCTGGCAGAAACTCTGAGATGTTATTCACAGTCTACAGTCTGATTAACCCACCAAGTCCCACATTTTTAATTATGTGACTAATTCAACAGGTGCATTAAAATATTCTGGAAATTTTAACCTAGGGCTTATAAATTATTAAGCCCATTAATATTATAATACAATTACATTGCTATTATATAATTATATTATATACTATATTTAAGCTTTTACAGGTGTTCCACATCTGGGACAATGTGACAAAATGGGTTAAGTGAGAGAAGCTTTCTTTCAATCAGTACTTCTGGTCCCCTGGAAGTATCAGTGTAAAGCCCAGAAACCTAATCCTACGGGGAACAGCTTCCTTTGTTATTAGTTACAATAACACAAACCAAAGACAAAACAAAGGTAACACAAAATGTTCTTACCTCTGCCAATTCAAATTCAACAAAAGCAAATCCTCGATGCTTTTCTGCAAAAAGGGGGAAAAAACAAGTACCATGCAAAAAGGGAAGAAACAGAATGGTCATAATGAAAATTAAGTCAGTTATATGCATCTCCAGACACTGGAAATTCTACCCAATCATTATTTAGAAAGAAGAAATCTCATTCTTTAATTCCTCTTAAATAACATTTTAAGCAATAATAAACTTTTTAGAGGAAAAGCTAAAAATTAACTATGTCTTTATTCTTTAAAATGAGCATTCAATTCTTCTACCAAAGCTAAACTTAAACACTTCAACCTTTGTATGCAAGGCAACTAGAAAAATGGTCAGTTAAACTATTAACTGTGCACAAATATATAATTTGAGAATAAACTATTCCTTCCGAAAGCATGAATCCTAAAATCTGATAAGGATGTTGAGTCTTTATCCTCAGGCAAATGCTGATCTGTTTAGAAAGGCCAACCAAAACAGTATTAATTATAGAACTCAGAGACCAGAGGGCCTTTAGAAAATCAATATAACCTTACTGTATTTGCAAAGGAAGGCTCAGAGAGTGTAAGGTCCCTGCTAACAATCAGATGCAAGATTAATATTAGAGCTAGGCCTAAAACCCTGGCCTAAAAATTACAACAAGGCTGAGAGATGAACACAGCAGGAGAGCCTTTGCCTAACATGTATAAGACCCTACATTTGATCCGCACATGGTAGGGGAAAAAAAGGAGGAGGGGTGGGGATGTAGCTCTGTGGTAGGGTGCTTTCCTAGCTTGAATAAGGGCCAGGGCTTGATTCTCAACAACACAAGAGGGGAAAAAATAATTACAACCAAGATAAAGTAGAAAACTGAATGGTAACTGTATACCAATTAAAGGAAAACCCATCCAGGTATGTAGAAGCTAGAGTCCCATTTGAGGGCCAGGTTTTCCTGCTGTCTCATTTAATAGCACAGCTGCCAAGAAGGGAGCAGGTGTGATGAGGTATCTGGCAGGTAATTTGAAACAACACTCAGATATCAATGTAGTTCATTCCTATTGGTCTACTGAAAATTTTGTATTATCTCAAACCCAACAGATGGAGACTGCAACATATTGACAACCCACAAGTACTCTACCGGAGAGCCACACTTCTGGCCTGAAAACACATATTTAGACTTGTGATGTGACTTCACATTTTTTTAAAGTTCTTTTTCCAATAGGATTCTGAACATAAAAGAAACCAAAAGGACTCACCTGTTTCATAATCCAGAGGAATCTGAATATCTGTGATGTCTCCAAAAGGAATAAAAGCAGCATGAAGAACTTTGTCGTCCACCTCCTCTGCCAGTCCACCTGCAAATAAACCAAGGGCTTTTTGAGCTGCTGTCCTCAATACTCTTGCAGAAGACTGTGGGGCAAATTAGCATGTTAGGCAAGGGCAGGAGTCTTTCCATCCAGTTGTTTGGTTAGACAAACACCCCTCTCTCATCTACTGCCCACCCACACTAATAAAGTACATTCTTATCTTCATCCTTCTTTTAGACCCTCATCTAACTCCAGGATTCCTGCAAAAGCCTCATAACTGATTTCCCTGCCTGTGTACCTTCTATCAACTCCACCATGCCAACTTGAAAGATCTTGGGAAAGTGAAAATTTGAGCCCATCACTTCTCTGCTTAAAGTCCTTCAAAGGTTTTCCACCATCCTCAGATTAAAGTGCAAACTTCTTAGCAGTTTATACAAGGTTCTTCATAACCTGTCCACCTCTCCAGCTTGTTTCTGGAGAGGTGAGTGCAAACTTTCCGGATGCAGTAAGTCCGGAGTTGATGAGCAGGAGTTAGCTGGGTAACTCTGCTTTCCAATTCCCTGGGTCCCGAAAAACAACCCACTTGCCACCAAGGGTCGGGTTATTTAACATCTTTGAGCTTCAATTTTTGCACCTCCCTTGTAATAAGTAACTTTGCCTCTACTTTGGCTACTCAGCTAACTCCTCATCAGCTCTGGAGTTATCGCACGCGGAAAGTCTGCCCTCCTCTCCCCCAGATGAATGGATCATTTCTTCACGCAGCCGAGGCCCTGTCATCACTGCCCATCCCCACCACAGCGCTTATCTATGGTACTAAGGTTATTCCCACTTTTATTTTTTTTCTGGCTAGTCTGGGAACTCCTTTGTGATTGAGGTTGAGCCATCTCTGCAGTGAATGCAAAATTGATAGGCGCGAGGATTTGAAAGACCGTATTTCTCCACTGCTATTCCGGACCCTGGAGGAGTTTAGCACACCAGGAAGGAAGCCGGAGTGATTGTTACATCTTGGGCTCACGGCCTGAGACAAAGCAATAACGCCACAGATCCGGCCTGACAGCTACTCCCGCTTTCCCCATCTGGAGACGTGTCCCTCCCCACTCTGGGACCCACTCGAGGCTGGTTTGCCCAAGCTCCGCCTAGCGCCCGCGCCTGCTCACCCACGTACAGCACGCGTTTGGTAGTGGCCATCTTGCTCCAGCTCTTTTCCGCCGGAAATAGGCGCTCGGCCCGCCCCCTCTGGCCCCGCCCCGTCTCGGCCCGCCCTACCTCGCTGCAAGGCTCTTGCAGACCCCGCCCACTGGAGCGCTGGTCTGGCTGCGTTGGCCTCCTAGTTCCCTCCCGCGATGCGTTGGGCGTACGGTGGTGGATGAGCTGACCGGTTACTGGTGCTCCAAGTGCGACGCTGTTGTGGGAAAAAAATCAGGCGGGATATTATCCGCAAAGGACTACAAATAAGTATGGTCCGTGGGCCATCCCGCCACCCCGTTTTGGAAAACCCAGGAGCTAATAATGTTTTGTACATTTTGAAATAGTTGAGGGGAAAATCAAAACAAGAATATTTTGTGACACGTGAAAATTTCGTGTATTTTATTCACATATTGTATAGTTTAAATTCTATTAAAATTTAAGTGTCCACACATAAAGTTTTATTGGGACACAGCCCCACTCATTCCTTTAAATATTATTGTCTGTGACTGCTTTCAAGCTACAAGGGCAGGAGAGCTATAGCTAGAAAAGCAGACAATGTTTACTATCTGGCTCTTTAGGAAAAAAGTTTGTTGATTCTTGAACTAAATCTACTAATACATAAACCACAGATTTACATAAATGGTAAAAAAAAAAAGTGGGGACATTTATTTTAGATGGTTTATATGGGGCAGGGCTTAAGTCCTTCATGAAATGATATTTAAGCTGAAACCTGAAGGAAAAGGAGTCCGAGTGAAGGAATCAGGTGAAAAATATCTAGGAGAGGAAACAACTTTTGTATTCTCAAAGAACTGAAAGGCCAGAGCATGGGGGGGGTGGGGGGGTGGGGGGTAGTGTATGTTAAATCAGGCAAGGAAAGGTGGGGAGTGGGCCACACTGTGCAAGATTCTGCAAGCCTTGTGGAAGATTTGGGGCTCTGAGAAGCTACTGAAGTTATAACAGGAAATTACATGGTCACATTTATGTATTAGAATAGTGCTCTGACCACGATGTCTGGAATGGATAGAGTGAAATCCTGAAGACCAGAAGTAGACTAGGAAGGAGTTGGTTGTGGCTCTCTTTCTCCAACAGTCCCTCCAGCTTATTTACAAGATGATCTTGCTTAAAAATAAAGCTGACCTCTCTAGATCTCCCTGATTAAATCATTGCTGCTTATAACTAGGCTCTTGACAAGGGGACTGTGCCCACCCCAAATCAACCCCAACCTCCACACTACATCTTCACCTTCTTACCATGTGCTCACCTTCCTTTGTTCATTCAGTTCTCTCTCTTTTTTTCCATCTGGATGCACCCACCTGTTTTTGTCAGAGGTTCTCTTTAGCTCTTCACTCACCCAAGTCCCTATAGACAGGGTTCATGGCCCCCAAGTTCAGAAGTCAATTGGAACACACCCTGTGACTATAGTCAAGCATGTGTCTCTCTCCCACTAGATGGAGGACTTTGACACCAAGGTCTGTATCTGTTGTATTTCCAGAGTTAAGTAGTAACTGTGCACAGTCTTCTAAACCAACCTCAGATCAGGAAGATGATGCTCACAGGAATGAGGCTTGGGAATCTGATCAGGATAACTCTGTGGGTGCCTAATACAATTCCATACCAACAAGGAGAATCTGATCGAGTATTCTTTATGTGGGGGTGTTATAATAAAAAATATATATATTTGTCTTTGTCCCCAGTTTCGGGACAGAGTTCCTAAAACCCTTGGAATTTCCTGAGTGATATGGGAGGGATTTTTGTTCATAGTGAGCCCATTTTGACCACACCTGAGTTTATGCTAAGATGACTCATGGTAGGGTCCCTAGATAGCTTCAAATGGGGGGGGGGGGCTTGTCACCAGAGGAATCAATATCATGATTAGAGAGTTAGAAGTTTCAGCTTCATCCTCTGACCCCTGGGAAGGAGAGATGGGTTGAAAATTGAGTTCTATCACCAGTGGCCAATGACTTAATTAACTATGCCTAGGTAATGAAACCCCATATAAAAACCCAATGGGGCTTGGGGAGTTTCCAGGTTGGTGAATACATCAATGTACTTGGAGGATGGCATGCTGGCCATGCTTGGAGAGCATGGGAACTCTGGGCAGACAACTACACATGTGGACCCCATTTGTGGCTGGTATCTGAAGTGAGAGCAGTCTTGTGAGACTGAGCCCTAAATCTGTGGGTTCTGCTTTAGCTCAAAATTGAGTTGAATTGAATTGTGGGACACCCAGTCAGTGTCAGAGAATTGTAGAAATGATTGGCATTAGAAAAAAAAACATACAATGGGAAATTTGTTTTTATCCATTGTAATTCATAATATGTTCTTCTTTCTCCTTACTAACTCCACATGACAGGTAAGACACAAAGATAACCTTTCTCTCTGCTGCACCTGAATATCCGGGGTCTCCTTCCCCACATTCTGAACTAAGACCTGAAGCCACAGTGTCTGAGAAGCAGCTCACTTTGGAGTCTCTCCATCCCAGGGGACTCCAGTATTGCAACAGCTTGAAGTTAACAATCTCCAGCAGCATTCCTTTGATCTTTTCAGCCAGGTTTGAATGCTTTATTTGGATGAGTGGGAACACATATTCCTCTATGAGTAGTACAGTTAAGAAAAAACCAAATCAAATCCCAGTGAAGAGGGGACACTGGTGTCCACAGATCCTGGTTCCTCTTCTGCAAGCATATGGGAAACTCACCCCACCAGGGTCTGTCTTGAAGTCTACATTGGAAGTGGTCAGGGGCTCATGCCTCTGCATGTAGACCCCAGGCTGGGGTGCCAGGGAACCAGGAGGGAGATGCTGAACAGTGGTCGACTTTAGGGTAGTCCAGCCATTTGACATGTGAATGGTACCATTCAGAATGCCAGCAGGAGGGGACAAAAGGCAACAGTTATTGACTAAATTCAGTCCATGGTGAGAGAGCAGCAGTGATGTTAAAAAGTATATGTATATTGGGTTGGGGTTGTAGCTCAGTGGTAGAGCGCTTGTCTAGCATGAGTGAGGCACTGGGTTTGATTCTCAGCACCACATATAAATAAATAAAATAAAGGTTCATCAACAGCTAAAAAAATCATTTTTTAAAAATGTATATATGTATACGTGTGTGTGTGTGTGTGTATATATATATATATATTTTTTTTTTTTTCAGGCTGGCCCCAGACTCCTGGGCTCAAGCAATCCTTCTGCCTTAGCCTCCAGAGTAGCTGAAACTACAGGCACACACCACCATGCCCAGCACCTTAGAAGCTTTTTGAGGTAGAGATTATCACCTCTTTTAACCCATTACACCCAGCAAGGTCAAGCAATTTACTTACATGAGCAAAATAATAATTCATTTTGTTTATGGAATGAGCAAAACTACAATAACTTTCTTTACCAGAACACTTTTTTTTTGTTTTTCCTAAAGACACATTTAGAAGGATTCCCAGAAGTGACTGGGCCAGAGCATATAAATATCAGAACAGAAGAAATTATTATATACCATACCCCACCCCTTTCAGTAAGTACTCTGGAGACATTAATACATGACGTCAACCACGAGCTTAAGCGTAGGAGCAGGTCCCAGAAGACTATGGAAAGGATTCATCTTTTCACATGGCATTGAATTTTGCAAGTTTCCATCTTCAGAGAGCTTTAGATAGGTGAAACATCATTTTCTCTCCTGTATTTATAAAGGGAACAGTTACATATCACAATCAGACTTGGCACAATTTGCATGGGTGTTTATTTTCTACATCCCTTTCTCTCCTACCAGAGAAAGAACATTTTGAGAGCAGAGACCATGTCAGTTTGTTTATAGTTTGTTTATCATTGTCATCTCAGTCCACTGCATAATTCCTTGGCATTTAGTAGAGCTTTAATATCTGATGAATGAAGCAGAGAAAAGCTTCTTTCAAATAAAGTTGAAATGGAAAATTCTATTCTTAGCACTTTGGGTGTCTGGGCCTCCCCTGCAGAAGCTGAATCACAGGCTGTGGGCTGAAAGATTGGAGGTGTATTTACATGGAGCAACAGCCCAAGGAGGAGCAGCAAGTGTGAGTGTGGTGGCCCAGGTGCCAAGAGCCACATCAGAAGGATCCACAAATGAAAGAACAAACCAAATTAAAGTCCATTAATCTTGGCAACCAGAGTCTCCAGGAATCTTCTTTGATTCTTAACTAAGTCAGTGTTTGTACCACCGAGATTGTTCGAGATTGTTCGAGGGACTAGAAATTAAAACATTGTATCTGCCAGATAAAGACAATATTCTCCCCTAGCAGCAGGAGGGAGCGATGTCCAAGTCTGCCAGAAGCTAGAGCTGGTTTTTTCCTGCTGTCCTCTCAAAACACTGGATTCAGCCATGTCATAGGCTCTACTCCCTTAGGTGTGTCAGGTTTCATATCTTAAGACAGCAGTCCTAAAACCTGAGCCTGCATCAGAATCATCCAGAGGCTTGTTCAAAGATTGCTAGCTATATTGTCAAAATGGCTGATTTAGTACTTCTTAGGCAGAGCCAAGAATGTTCATATCTAGGGCTGGAGTTGTGGCTCAGCGGTAGAGCATTTGCCTAGCACGAGCAAGGCCCTGGGTTCAATCCTCAGCACCACATAAAAACAAATAAATAAAAGTATTTTTTTTAAAAAAGAATGTTCCCATCTAACAAGTTCCCAGGTGATATGGAAGCTGCTGGTTTGGAGACTACCTCTTGAGAACCACTTTTCCAAGGAAAGTTGTAACATATGAAAAGCAGGACATTCTGCTGGATGCAGAATGTATGCAGAGCAGGACATTCCACTCTGGATGCTAACACTAAGGGGGTGTCTGTAAAGAATTTTGAAACAATGATAAAAGAACTAAAAAGTCAGTCATTTTTTATTTAATTATGCTTAGGCAACTCCAAATAACATTAGCCACATAGTATTCCTCCCGAAAAGAAAAAAAAAGTCCAGTGTTTTAAGGTGAAAGTTAAACAATTATAGTTTTCTCCTGGGTTCAATTCTCAGCACCACACACACACACACACACACACACACACACACACACACAAAATTG